GAATGGATTCCATTTAATAAACAAGATGATATTAAAAAAATTGAAGAGAGATTTGGCTCTTTATTTTCTGCGACCTGGTTGGATGTTTGCGAAAAATTGATGGTAATATGTTTAATTGTGTAAGAGTATATGAACCATCTTGCCATTACAATCGTTACACGCATTAGATAAAAAAAAAAAAAGGTAATGGTAAAGTTTTGTATATTGATTGATTTTAATTGGTCATTAATTATGCTTTCTTAACCGGGTCACTCGGTTATTCGAAATTATTCTTTAAACGAAGAACACAAATTTTATACGTGTTCAATATCTACGTCTGTAATAGCTACAAATCAGATATTTCCAATATGGTCATACCTAAATGTAAATTGTTACATTCTGCTGCACGTATACCAGGAACAGAGTTTATAGAAGTTTTACCGAAAAAAGAAGAGCATGTGCACATTTTTTTATTTTTGATTATATACTTTATTAAAATAATTTACTAGTTTGATAGAGATAAATACAATAATTAAATTGATATTTTAAGAATATTAAATTTACTAAGGCCAAGAAATTTGGGAATTTGGATGTTTAGAGACTAAGTATCGAGACTATAACTAAAAAGATAAACATATTTTAAAATATTGGATCTCTTTAATTAGAGAATGGTCACCTATACTAAAGAGATTTGTTATAGAAATGATAACGACTATTACCCGAGACAATTAAAGTTATCTAAAATAAAACACCAGAACTTTGATCAAAAAGTTACAATACGATCATCATCATTCCAACACCTGATTTTTTTCAAAGGATCCCATTTAACATGACCATACCGAGACTTTGAAGGGATTATGAAACTATTCCACAATAATTTTGCCGTGAATTCATGTAATTTCAAGCTATCATTGTGTACAAATGTAGTAAATTACGTGAAAATAACTTTAAAAAAAAATCAAGAATGAAATATTTACCTTGGGTGAAAGCAATCACCGCAACTAAGAGCATTAATCGGAAAGCTCATCAAGTCTAAATCGAAAGGTTGATACACCACAGCAAAAGTATCACTTGGATGTTCAGCATAATATTGTACTATCCTATTAATTGCAGCATTATGCTCTCGTGAGAGTTCATCCATGCTCTGGCGTTTTTTATCGCCCTCTGGACCTATTATAATAATTCAGTTAAAATACACGTTAGCTAAATAAATAACAATAACATAAGCATATAATCAGTATAATTTTTTATCATACCCTCAATAAAGGCGCATTCACATTCAAAATTTGGTAATACACCGAGTTTCTTACAATACTTATTTTGACCACGAGTGACATTAAAAATTTGAGAAGCATTAAAATTTCCAACAATATTTACAATAACATTTGGTATTTTTGTACGAATCTTTTCTAATGCTTCATAAACATAATATTCAAATGTTTTTTCATTTTTTGGAATAATTTTTAGACATTTGACGCAGAGATCATTCGGACCGATGAATACGTTTAAAAACTTGAAATAGTATGTATTATTTAGTCTACAATAAACAGTCATTCAATGCAAGAATAAATCATAAAATACGAACCTTCCAAGAATTTTTTAACTCTTCAGGTACTTTTTCATATTGATTCAATAAATATTCGATTTCATGATTGAGATTCTTGGCCATTGAGCCGGATTGTGCAGCATTCAACTGGTCTTGCTCTGGCTTATATTGCTTTGGCGGACAAATAGGACCTGATCATTATTTATACAAAAACTTTAGAACGAATGGTTGTGTTACATGATCCTGAAAATGCACATAAGTGCATATATAGTGAGTAAAAAAAAAAGAAATATTACCAAAACAAACTTCTATATGATGATATCCAAGAGAAGCACCTTTTAATTCGGGGGAATAATGTTTTAAAAAATTTGCTATGCTAACAACACCAGCATCACCGCCCATAGCATAACTAATACCACGATACTCATATAATTTATCAGCTGTATTATTAGTTCCGTCGCAGACTGCATTTGCTAGAAATCCTGCGGTAACACTATCGCCTAAAGCCATAATCACCTTAATATCATCTGGGCGTAGATCATGTACGTTTGCTGGAAGCGATGTGCGAGGTGTTAGCGGTGGACATAATGTTATGTCATTTACAAATACATTATATCGAGAGGATGTAGAAAATGTATTTTGAGTGAACTCTGAAAGGATGAAATTGATTCGTGCATTGCAATAAGGTAGTATATAAATTAAAAATAGTATGGACAAGAAAGACTTTGTAAAATTCATGTTTTAATTTATCAAATCAACAATTGCGCCTTTTATAAATTTATAAATGTAACATGCATATACAAAAACATTTACACATAGATACTTTTATACGCATTTTTGAAGAATGAGATTCTATTTTGATTGTAGTGATTTCACAATTTTTATGCATAAGTGATTAAGGTACTACGTGATAAGTGAATCGTCCAAAGGAGCCTAAAATACCAAAATTCTTGTATATGAGCTCAAATTAAGGGTTCATATAGAGATATGATGAGTTTCACATTACTGTATTTATGTGACTTGCTCCCGTGATACTGCGGGGCAGTGTTAAAGATTTAATGTTCCCAATATTCCCGAGAACATTTAAAAAATTTAGGAGCACTAGATTTAAAATTTATGTTTCTTTTTAGGGACAACATAAAAGTTACAATTTATGTTCCTATAGAGAGAGAGAGAAAGAGAGAATATTTATTATTTTTATTATAGGAACATTAAAAATTTTAGGGAGCATAAATTTAATAATTTATGTTCCCGAAGAACAAAAAAATTTCAAATCTTTTTCACTGCTGCGGGGTAATTATATAGGGATCATGAATTTATCACTTAAATGCAGAACGATATTAAGAGATCAGGGCGATAAGTAATATACAGTAACGACGGTAGAAATATATCACTAGAGATGCTGGTGAAATTAATTTCATCATTTACACCAATAGTAGTGTAGTTATTTCACCACCCTAATTTTGTTTCACCAGCATCTTTAATCATCACAGCGCGTTTCGAAATTTTAAGATTAGTTAGAAGCATAAAGTGCGGTATTTACTTTTTTTGACTAATTTTTAAGTAACGTACTAAATAACTCAATTTTTCGGAGCGTTGCGTGATTGGCAATATCAATAATACGTAGTATAAATGGCGTACTTTATTAGTTATACTGCATAAATTCGCAAACGCAATTTATAACGAAATGAATGTTAGAGCGTAGCAATATAAAAGACTTAAACAATAAATATGAAAAAAATGATTCACAAAATTGTTTAATATACTTGCAATCTATGGGAGGCTGCGCTCTACCGGTCGGCTTTCGTTATTACGCGCACAATTCCGAATTTTATTCTTGTTGTGATTATTAACAAACTGTGCTGCTGGCACACAATCAATATCTGCAACCTTTGATTTTTACAAACTATCGGAATATTCGTCAATGAAACGTTTGTACAAATTTGGAAAGAAATAACCAAATAAGAAAACCGTTACACTAGGTTAAATACGTCAAAACATATTTGTGCAATTGACACCAAAAAAAGGCAAGAAAATAAAGATTTGAGCAAGAACGTTAGAGTCATAAGTTATAAAAAATAAAATTTCTTTCCCATCATTCTAATTAGTGATACCATAGCAGATTTGGCTTGTCAACTTGTGCACGTGTCGGGCTAATCCGAGATTTACGTTCTCCAATTGGCCATTTTCTTTGTATCACTAGCATAAATAATTACGTGACCATCATATGGTCATTGTACAGTACATGGCAAACGCGTAAATAATATAATTGTTACACTAAAGTATAGATATAGACGTGTATATGAAATGGCGTTAATTTGTTAATGCCGTGGCTAGATGTCTGGCTCTTGAAATTAGATCTTTTTGTATGCATTAAGTAGTAATTCCAAACGTCAGATAACCTCAGTCACGATATTAACTAGTGATGCCTGACGAAACCATGTGATGCTAATTATCACATGCTATTACTTATAAAAAGTTCGTTGATTTTTATATAGTGTACCATGTGACAATTAGCATCACATGGTTTCGTCAGGCATCACTAATATTAACACAGTCTCTATACTGTACCTCAAAAATTAAAAACCTTTACAACTTTGATTTCAATCCTAAACACAACGCCATTGGTGTGACTTAGTATATACTAAATAATGCGAATCAAAATGAATTAATAGAAATAACTTTACTAATACAGTATATGGCTAGAGTTAATACTTCAATCCGGATATAAATACCTATATCCGGATTGATATTTTGTTAAAAATTTATAGTAAGACATAGTAATTATATCCGGATATAAAAACATAGTAAAGTATTAACTCTATATATGACAACTCTTCAGATATAACATATGAACCATTGCATCAAGATTTTTTTTTTTTTTTGAGACAACTTTTGATTGTGATAGATGTTTTATTGATATATATTTATAGAAATTCAAATATTACAGTGCATTGGTAATAAACTGCAAGATTACAAAACCTAACTTTAAATATTTAATATCGATATGATATAAATTCTAAACTGACCGACAACATTAACATCACAAATTGTTTTACAATTAGTTCTTGGAAATTTTGGGTTAAAGACTTTAATTGTATATTTCTAATACAGTATAAAGAACAAAAACTTATAATACAAATAAACCCAATGATTTTCCATATTCCCCCGTAGATGAAAAAAAAAAAAAATTATGTAACCCCTTTAATCTTTTAATTTATTTAGCCTAATACTTTAGAGTGAACTGGTGGTGCACATCTCCTCCTTAAAATTTTCACAACATACAGCGGAATACTACTAATTGCTGTTATAACTGCCACTTTCCAAACAAAAACCCATGTTAGAATAAACGATAAATCTATACGAGTCATAAAAAAAAAATTTATATTAGATTGTGTATGTAATAAATGAAATTATTATATTAAATAAGTAAACCTCTTACCAAAATAAGCCGGTAAGAATGCCATAGAAACAATATAAATGGCAAATGTTACAATTTCTGATACGATCATAAGATAATGCCTTAATAAAAAAAATAATCTTTTGTTTAGTACACATAAATAACAAAATATAATATTTAAAATGAAACGCCTGATTATACCATGTATTGATTTCCAGTGCAACCATCAACAACTCATTAAAAATTAGAGCAGTAAATGAGATAGCGACAATATTCACAAATTCATCCTCAAATAATAGAATTGACATAATCATTATAGCTCCACCTACATACATATAGTGTTAGTTATAGTATACATGAAAGTATGATAATGATAAGCTAACACTTGTTATACCTTGGTAAACACTAATCATTAACCATTGGAAGAAGGTTTTCAGAGATAAGGAACGTCCCTAAAAACATTAAAATGTTATTTAATGTATGCGTATTTATTAAAATAATAGATAAATTTACATTTACCTTGGTCAATTCTTTATATAATTCCGGAAATTTAAATGCTGTTTCTTCTTGCACATCCCTATCCAACACCAGAGAGAATACCGGCGCCATGGTATAAATGGTAGAATACCCCACAACCAACAATCCCTATTTTAAAATAAATATAAATTAATTATATATTACATATGTGAGAACACTATATAAACTATAAAGATTTATTTTAAATAATAATTTTTACTTGATAAAGTGCAATGGGTGCAAAAAAGAATATTGCCGAAAATACTGCTTGTATGACCGATATTATTAACCCACGATGAATAACAAACTGAGCTAGTTTTGCTGATCTTTTATAGCTATTTCTACCATGCCATACTATATTAAGAAGATTAAGTTAAATATTTTATGGGGTAATATGCATATGTCGTCTGAAATTGCCACCTGTCTGAAGTTGCGTAAAGCCAAAATTAAGCCCCTTGAAATTTGATATTTCATGTTATAATTCCAGGCGTGCTACTTGAGATGTCCGACATGACAATTCCAAGCAGGTGGTAACTTCAAGCAAATTTTAAGAAAGTAATCCTGAACATACATAACAATTTAGTCAAGTAACTAAATTGTGTTATGGAAAAATCTGCTGCTAACGAAGCTTGTTTTCCTTCTTTTCCGACTAATCCAACTCCTATAATTTTTATGCGTAATTTAATAAGTATAAATAATAATAAATATAATAATATAATAAAATAATATAATAAAATAAAAGCTTTATAAGATTTACCAACATGTGCTGCTTGAATCATACTAACGTCATTACCACCATCCCCTATGCAGCATACTCGCTTCCCCGTGAATTGCATAATGAGTTTCGTAATGTCAGCCTATATAAAAAGCAAAAATGAATATTGTGAAATATAAATAGACTTTTTATGATCTTTTAATACCTTTTGAGTGGGAGAGCATCGACAAGCTACAACAACTGGTAAGCGTACAGCTACTTCAATGAATTCATTTTTATAATGATCCATATAAAACTATAAAATGATTATTTATAATATTTCGTAATTAATAAAGTACTTTATGTGAAATATACTGTTGTATATTTAAAACCATATATACCTGAATCGATACACCATCAATCACTAAACAACAATCTTTTTTGATTTGTAAGACTTCCAATTCCTCCACAGCTTCATTTGGGGAAGTCACTTTTATTTAAAGCAATTCCAACAGTGAAAAGCTGTAAAAATTTTTTAACAATATAAACACAATAAATAACAATCTATTAAGCCTACCACGTGATATCTGATGTATAATTTGGTTTCGCGATACTAGCTTTGATGAAACGGCGATACAAGTAGCTGTCTCAATTTTATCTCCTATAAGTTAAATGATAATTATTAAATACCAAAATGAATAAGTGTATCTCTGACTGAATTTATATAAAATAATAACTGACCAGTTAACATCCAAATTTTTAACCCAGCATTTCTCAAAAGTTCTAATGTATTTTTCACATCATCTTGAAGTTTATCTTCTACACCAGTTACACCTAAAAGTTCTAGATCTCGTTCCAAAAGTGAAACAACCACTAATTGTTCTTGAGCTTTACGATCAGTTATGCTCACTTTTGCTTCAGTAAACCTATATGTAATGAAGTTATTTAACACAGTTATTTATAAAAATTTATCTGAAAAAAAATCTCATACCTTTCTTGAAATTCATTATAAGTATCTTCAGACAACTTCCTACGTGCAATAACTAGTGTTCTCAATCCTTCCCTAGCCATATTATCACATTCTTCATCCAACCAATCATTATATTGTACAATTTTACTCATCACAACATCTGCACCCTTTTGATAAAACATTATTTCACCAGTAGCTTTATCTTTCACTACTATACCCATTCTTTTAGATTCACTTGTAAATGGGAATGTCTGAAGGATTAAAAATTCTAACACTTCACCATCTGGTGCACGTAGGTGCATTTCGTTAATATCTCGAAAAACCAATGTGAGTCCAACGTGTTCAGTCAAACGAACAATAGCAACTTCATCTGGAGAAGATGCTTGGTATGTGATTTCATCAGTTTCTGAATCAATAACCGGTGTAACCTAAAATATGAAAGAAACAATATATATCGCATATACATCGAATTACTAGCCGTTGTTTGCATAATTAAATTGGCACTTTACGTATTACAAATTCTTACATTATGGCATAGTGCAAGTGCAAGTATAATATCCTTGACTCTAAAAGACATGTCTCTGCGACCCTTTCCACCGGTCATAGATGTAGAAGGACCAGCTACAGGTCATGAATATAATATTAAAATAATAATATTAAAATAACGAATAAATAAATTTATTTAAAGAAAACTATCGTTACCTTTTGATTTTCCGAACGCACTTGCTAGATGAGTCCTAACTTCATCCCATGATTCATAATTGAATGCCATTGTTCCCATATGAAGCTTTTTAAGTTCCATATCTAATGATCGAAATAAGGATTAATTAATGAAAGCTAATTTTTTAAATTTCAGTTATGTAAGTGGTTTGTAATTACCATTTTTTGTAAGAGTACCGGTTTTGTCAGATAAAAGATATTCGATTCGACCTAGTTCTTCAGGTATCGTACTGGTACGAACAATTGTATTTGGTATTTCTTTATCATTCATAAATTGATATGCATAAACAGATTTTCCCATATCTAAATTGACACGTAAACTAAAAAAAGAATGCTAATATTAATTTACATGAAATAATTAAATCCTGTATCCTATCACAAATAAGCACCGTAGTTTCGCTTACTTACTATATTAAACTTTACATGCGTAATAAACTGTTTCATCGGGTTTTGGGTAAACTGAGAATGACGTTTATTCAAGAAAGGTGCTTATATGCAGTAGGATATAGTCATTGTTGGCATATGTCCAATGATTTTGAAAACGATTGGACATATAAAATTTTATATGTCCGATATTTTTTTTAAATTATTGGACATAACAACACTGGATATAGTATAATGAACCGAAATTAGAAAACTTACCCAATCGGGATGATAGATGAAAATATAATCAAGAACCGGAACAAATAAATATACCAGAGACCACGAAAACCATTTAACGCGATCAACAATATAGATAATATCAAAGTTACAACAAAAAGAATCTACCATCCACAACATATATTAAATTTTTGTTAAATGATGATGCATGTTGAAATTTTGGCAAATACCATTTCGAAAATTCTTCAAACTTTAATGACCTTAGAAAGATTATTAATTTCTACATCCAATAACCCAGTTTTTGTCTCTGGATGGCTGGTATTCATTACTGCTCGTGTATCTTTGCCCGTATATATCACAAAACCGATAGCAGTGCCAGACGCAAGTACTGTATTCATCCATAAAGTATTTTCTACATTAAGTGGTTCAATTTGAGGTACCTAAGCATGGAAATTTACTAATAAATTTCGGAATGATCTAAACATAAGGCCATGAAAGTAATTTATTGGTTCTTATATCCGGCTAAATCAGTTTTGCAAACATCCAAAAACAATTTTATGTCATAAAATCCCAGGTGAGGATTTATATATATATAATTTTAAATATAAAATTTTTATATTTAAAATAAAAATCGAGTTGCCAAATCACTTTTAAATTATTATGAGAACCAAGAAATTTAGTCCTGCATGGCCAAATAAAATATAATTTATTATATTTAAACTTACTACATTGCCAGGTGACTGTCTCGAAAAATTACCAATAAAGTTATGAATATCTTTTGCCGGAGGATCAGCTAACACAAGAATGTGTCAATAATGTATTTAATAATATATTAATAATGATTGTACACTTAATAAAAACACTTACCATATATTTCAGCGTCAACTGATAATAAACTTTCATCGGAATGTAGCTTTTGACAATATGGAACAGCAAGTCTAATGAATGTAAATATATTACATAAATGTAATTACTAAGTGATACAAAATTATAGGTAAATTTCAGGAATAGAATACCTCAATTTCCAGTCAGTTTCACCATCCAATTGGTCAGTCCTTATGAAACAAGCACCGCTCGCTTCAGTTGTACGAAGTAATATTATATCAGCAGGAACCTACAATCAAGTTGACCCAAGTTAAACACACAAATAATAATAATAATAATGATGATCAAAATGCAAGTAATAGTACATACTCTTTGGTCTTTGTGAATTTTAACCAAGTCACCGACTCGAAGCTTTGAACTTGGAACATTTTTTACACCGTTTTCCCTTGTTAGTATCTGATATTTTTGAGAATTATTTTCTTGGTCTCTTTTATATCTTTTCCAATCATCATATGCCTCTTTCCCCATTGTAACAAGAATAACAAAACATAACGGACCAAAATACGTAAAGAGATAACCTAAATAAATGATAATAAATGTAAGATTTATTGATGTATAAGGATATAATATTAGTAAAAATTATAATATAATTCACTTACCAATTTTCAAAGGAGGAATAAATTGGGATAATGCCACCAAAAGAAAGTATAAATTGATAAATATATGAAACTATAAAAAATATATATAGATGGGATTAGTATAATATCATAATTCGATGTTTGAATAATTAAAATTTAAAAGTAAAATATTACTTACTTGTTCATAAAATACCAACGGAAAAAAAGTTATTAAATTGTATTTTTGGTTACGGATAACATTTGGTGGAAATTTCTTTTTTACTTTATCTATGATATAAAATAATGTTATATTTGAGAAAATTGCATAACATATTGCAAAACATAAATATATATGTATATGTATATATATTTAAAAATTAAATTACTTGAAACATGGAATGAAATTGTCCTTGATTTTGAGGTTGGCGCTCTCATATTTAGAGGAACATCAGATGAAGATACTGGTGGATTACGTCGTCGATGCCTTGAGGAGGAGGAGGAGCTTTCCTGAGGATAATATTAATCAAATATTTTTAATTAGAAAAATGAACAGGATTACAATTGTCTTAGATATAAAAGAATTGGAAAATATTAGAAAAAGAATTGGAAAATATTAGAAAGTCTTCTACTCTTTAACAATCCGGGGGCAATCTACGTAAAGGTGATATTAAAAGTAATCAAAAGACTGGTAATCGAGAATATTATATTATATATTATACTATCCTATAAAATTTTTGGGGTAATAAATATATATATATATATAGTTTTATTAACAAACCTCTGGCCAGTCTTCTTGAATAATTAATGGTACTTCGTCGTCACAATCAGAACTCCTTTTTTTTTGTCGGTTGTCCGAAAAGGGTATAATTGTTTTTAAAGCGATTGAAGGCTCCCTCACCATTTTTACAAAAAAGTGGTCAGGACCTGTTTAAAAGATACAAGTTTGTAGTACCTTGATACCGAGAGGAAGGATTAACATTAAACTTTCATTCTCAAATAATATTTATATTGCGCCGCCTGCAAAGCCATGTGACAAGATCATCGGTAATACAATAAATTTCTTTATAAAGAGTGACAATCAACTTCAAAACGAACACCGTTTTGTCATCTAAGCCTCAAAAACTTTATTTATACATTTGCTTAGCAAAGTTATTAGAAATTTGAGTCAAATAGGCATAGCCGTGATAATGTCCCCGGGTACTCTATACACGTATCCTTCAGATTTTAACATCTAAAACAAGCTTGATAATGTATTTTTGACTTGATTTCTTTCGTGTTATATCGCGGATATTTACACGTTATTACGGTAACCATTTAATTAAGTCACTTTGTTTTTAACCTTGCATTACAGAGGATTATATAAAAATTTTTGTTGGTATACAGTATATATTAAATTATTAAGTTCTAAGCCATTACACAATTTACGGATTTTTCAACGGTATTTATGAGTAAAATACTTACTGGGCAGACTTTTCATGAATATAGAGCCCTTTTTTTGCATATTAGAATTTAAAAATTACCCTATATTAAATCAATGTCATATGTCCGTTAGGGACTGTTTTTTTTAACTGCCGCATAGCACTTTCCCTCGGTTAATATTTTTGTAGTGAAGTGATTAGGTTCCATTAATAAAATTTCACTGTGTCAAGAGTTTTATTAATAAATTCCCCGTATTGAGAGAATTTTATATACGGTAGATTTGCACAGTATTAAAAAAGATGACTACTATTTACACGATCAGGGATGTCACGTTGCAGAGGTGTAAACAAGTTTGTCATAGCCGGATTTCGATATATAGAAGTTAGACTACATCAAAAATGATATCAATGTTTACAAACAAACCAATTTTTAAATGATTGCCGCAAGCAGTAATCATATTTTCACTATAACATTCGTTTTTTATATTATGTTTTCATTTTCTTGTCTTCATTATAGCTTTCGCTTTATTATTATTTTTTTTTTTTTTATTTTTTTTTTTTTAAGTGAGGTCTTTTCCTCAGTTCCTTTATTATTCATTATGCAGATATTATATAGTAAGTTTACATAAATTTTTGAGGGAAGTGGGGAATAAGCTAATTTACTTTAGACCTTAACCTTAGC